TGCAAAATATGTTTGAAGACATATGTTAGAGAGGCAATTTTTTCCCTCCATGTAGTTTAATGTTAATTGATAAATTGCTACAAAAAAAATCTAGAAAAAAAAACAAGTTAAAAAGCACTAAGTTCGGCCGGGCCGAACTTTTAATACCCTCCACCATTTGCAACAAATTTGGAAATTTTTAAAAAATAAAATCCTTAAAAAATTCTGTTAAAATTTTAAAAATACCGAATATAGCCGTCATATTGGGGTCTATACGACGTGGACATACATAGGCATTGCTTGTCATAAGCCATTACCATATTCAAATTGGAAACTTGAAATAAACGGTAAATAATGTAGCTAAAATCATCAAAATATCGTATATAAGGAGGTGTCGTTAAATTGGAGCTGTGTGTAGTATCCATTTTGAGCTTCAAGTACCAAATTTGAAACAATTCCCGTGAATAATGTCGTTAAAATCACCAAAATACCGAATATCAGGAGGTACCGTTATATGGGGGCTATACGAAAAATGGACTTGCACAGACAATTTTCTATCTTAGACTGTAGTATTCATTACGAACTTCAAATACCAATTTTCAAACAATTCCGGTGAATAATGTCGCTAAAATCATGAAAATACCGAATATAGGCAGCTACTGATATATGGGGCCTATACGAAGACCTGGACCCGCACAGAAAATTTTCTGTCACAGACTGTAGTTCCTATAACGAACTTCAAATACCAAATTTGAAACAATTCCCGTGAATAATGTCGTTAAAATCATCAAAATACCGAATATCGATAGGTACCGTTGTATGGGGGCTATACGAAGACATGGACTTGCACAGACAATTTTCTATCTTAGACTGTAGTATTCAGTACGAACTTCAAATACCAATTTTCAAACAATTCCGGTGAATAATGTCGCTAAAATCATGAAAATACCGAATATAGGGAGGTACTGATATATGGGGCCTATACGAAGACCTGGACCCGCACAGAAAATTTTCTGTCACAGACTGTAGTTCCTATAACGAACTTCAAATACCAATTTTGAAACAATTCCGGTGAATAATGTCGTTAAAATCATCAAAATACCGAATATAGGGAGGTACTGATATACGGGGCCTATACGAAGACCTGGACCCGCACAGACAATTTTCTGGCACAGACTGTAGTTCCTATAACGAACTTCAAATACCAAATTTGAAACAATTCCCGTGAATAATGTCGTTAAAATCATCAAAATACCGAATATAGGGAGGTACCGTTATATGGGGGCTATATGAAAACGTGGACCTACATGGCCCATTTACGAACTTAACCTGCCTACTGGAAAAATAAACATGTGTGCAAAATTTTAGCCATCTATCTCAATTCATTCGAAAGATAGCGTGATTACAACAGACAGACGGACAGACAGACAGACGGACATCGCTAAATCGACTTAGAATTTTACGCTGATCAAGAATATATATACTTTGTTGGGTCTGACATGAGTATTTCGAGGAGTTACAAACGGAATGACAAAGTTAATATACCCTCCATAGTATGGTGGAGGGTATAAAAAAAAATAAAATCAAAGAAATACAACGTTACTCAAAAACTATGTATATTTTTAATTGAAATTAAAAGGTACTTACATTTCTATCAAGCGAAACAGATGTTAACAATAATTGGTTGTATCTACAGCATGACAGAAAAAGTTGCAACCATCATGTATGTAATGGTGACCATAGGGCTTAACATGTTTTTCGATTAATTTCGTTAATTGTGTTAAAAACATTGTATATAAAATATCTTCTTCGAATACTGTTGTCTGCTAAAACTTCCATCTACTGCTGGTTTGGCACATTACAAATTCGGAAAAAATATTTAATTTCTAAACAATTTTTTTTTTTAAATTTTTGAGAATTTTGTGGAGACTTTGTTTCGCACTTGAGCCTTCTCAGCTGACGTTGCACATTATTACAAACACCCCATTGAGCTGCATCTTTTTTTTTTTGCATTCGGGTCTGAAGTGTTGCTCGAAGAGTGTGTTTATCAACTTTATTTCGAATTGTCCTTTGTCCTGTTCCTGAATTCCATAACTCAAAATGTCATAATTTTCATTTCTCCGCACACTGTAGGATCACTTACACTGATGACATACATTTTTTTCATATAACACATATCTTGTTTTTTAATAGAAATTTTTGGCGACAAAAAATTGATTTTCATTTATTAAATATTACAAAGTTCATCGTTTTCGGGCACCTCTAATGTATTAAAAATGTAATAAATTAGACATGTTGCCACTTTCACAACTCAATAACTATTGTTTGTTACTTTTTTCTTTCGAGTTAAGTTTACAATGACCTAAAGAGATATTATTTAAAATTGGAATCTAGCGAAGTTCCATACATCAAGCTGTATGCGACCCGCTGCACCATTGCACAGTAGTCGCTGCCATTGGCTAAAATTCAAAAAATGAAAATCAGATATTTATTGTTAAATGTGTACACATGAACTCTTAAGGAGTTAAGCTTTTTAGAAAACATTATAATTTTTGTCAGATGTTATGCCCAAAATACTGAAGTGACTTCCCTGCAATTTTGTCAGTTTTATGTGGCAAGTGACATAGAATATATTTTTGTCATTATACGTTGTTTGTCTTAATTAATGTATCCATTGAAAAAGAAAAGTACATAACTATTAACAGAGAAGATAAAATATTACACATTGATCATAAAGTACAGCTTACTATGATGGACGGTGTGTAATGCCTTGACACAGACGTCATCAATTAAATGCTATATACGTAATGTAAGCCCAAAAAAAAATGAATAATATTGAAGCCTGTTTACAAATAGTTATGAATTTGTTATCAGCTTTGCATGCATATATTCCTTCTTTTTGAGTACATTCTTTATTATAGTCTAGAAATAAAAAGGGGCAAATTAGGTCATCTTAGAAGGAAAAAATCAATTCCAAAAAAGAACAGGAAAAATCCATTTGAAATTTCGAGAAGAAATGGGCTTAATTATATATAAGCCAAAGCAAGCAGGCAGCGGATCTTTAAAAGACGGGAATACAGCGAGAGGATTTTTCAAAAATGTGAGCTTATCTGTGTGTGTCTTGTGCAGGGATGCTCAAAACAAAAAATGAATGTGTATTGGTGCAAGAGAGTGAACGTCCACTCAAAGAAATTTCATGAGTTGTTGGCGCCAACTAATGCATAATGATATTATTATTATTACAGTGTACTAGCATATTATAGGGGGGAAATGTTTTGTTTTGTATAAATACAAATATATAAATTTAATTTTAATTCAACTAAAAACATATATAAAAAATTAATTTAAATGTAAAAAAAAAACAATTCACTGACTAATTTAAAAATAATCGATACAAAACTAGTTAAATAAAAAATGGAGATTTAAGGCTTTTAAAGCAGGGAGCGCCTAATAAAAATATTAATATTTACATTTTATAAATTGTTAAAATAACGTCTCAATATGTAATATTTTTTATTTTGCCACATAAAATGCATTGAATATTATCAAAAGCATTTTTAACCATAAAATATGATTGTAGCATTGTGGCATGTTGTTAAGCTGAAATAAAATAATGCAAATGAAACTATTGTTTCGCTAGGTGCATCAACGGTAGCAATGCGTGCAGCCACACACGTCTTCATTCGTCGGTGTCTCATCGACGACTGATTCTTATTCTCATTGCGAGTTCGTGTTGGTTTGTTTATACTTTTTCGTTCGAGGCTGCCCATAGCTGATCTAAGCTATAGACCAACATGGAATGAAAAAATGTTTCACATCAATTCGTGTTTGCATTTGTCTAATAATGTACGCGTAAATGGAACTTTCCAAAATGTATCTTTATCTAGTTACCAAAATACCATCTAATATGCCTGATGAGAAGATTAACCAATAGCGAAACGCGTCCATACTGGTTGATGTGTGGGACTTTGCTACAATCCAATTCTGAATTATATCTCTTAAGGTCATTATAAGCTCAACTTGAAAAAGAAAATTATAAAAAATCCACCAACAAACGGCCTTCGCCTTAATAAAGTAAAATATATATATATATATATATATATATATATATATATATATATATATATATATATATATATATATATATATATATATATATATATATATATATATAATAAAATCTGATTGGTTTTTGTTTTTGCAATTCAGTTTCGATTTCACTTCCTTTTCTATATTATAACAGTTCTATGCCTAAATAAATAATTGTAAATTTTGAAATTAAAAAAAATAAATAAATGGGAGTTTTCCGACATAACTCCCAAAAAATTTAATGGGAGAATTTTTATATGGGAATTTTTGGGGTTATGTCCGTAGAAATTATGCCAGGGCAATACTGGTAATTTTTTCATTTTTATAGTGGAAATTGGCAACCTGAAACCAACCCTTACTTGGTGCGTATTTTGAGCTATTTTCCAAAACTATATCAAAGACCTAAAATGGTAAAGACTAGACAAAATGCATTTTGAGCAAATGGTTTGTGTTTACAATACAAAGAGTAACAGCTCATGGCAGAGACATGTTAATATAAAAACCACAATTACAGAAAGGAATAACAAATAAAAATTTGAAAAATCCAAAATTTTGGTTTCAAAATTGTATTCCATAAACTTTTCCAGTTAATTGCATATTGCCTTAGCGGTTTAAATCACTTAACATTGTTAACTATGTTGTTACGATATCATGACAACAGAGTTATTTTCAAAGGGTTATCATTTTACTCTGTCTTGTCCTATCTTTATACTTCTATGTCTTTGACTATATTGTACAAAGGGAGCACCAGGGAGTTTCTATAAGTTCCGTGGACTCCGGTTGTTTCTAGAAAACTGATATGATCACTCATACGTTCCGGTACTAGTGTCCTGGACTATGAACTACGCTAATGCATAGGCAGCACAATTGTGTTTTTACAATACAAAAACACAGCTTGTGTTGTATAGTAAATTTATTACTTAGTGTCTTACCGTTCAGCCCGAGATGATCTTAAATACGTTTGCAGCTTGCCTTTATTCACGTATTCCATTATCACAAAAATTGGGTCCTTATCCGTGCAACATCCTAAAAATCCTACAACGTTCACATGGGGCTCCAGCGATTTCATTACCTGTAATTAGTTTTAATATATATAATAATATATATTAATATATATAAGTGCGTTTTACATTAATATAACTTATATTACATAAAAAAGTATATAATTTCAGAGAAAAAGCCAACCATACCCATACACGACAAAAACTCGAGTAAGCCAAAGACCTTCTTTTTCAATCACTGCTGTTCTTCGTATGAGTGGAACTATTACTCTTTATTTATTTTAAAATTGTAATTTTTAAGAATATTTAATTATACCCCACAACACTATGTGTTGGGGGTATTATAAGTTTGATTGGGTCAAAAATTATGTAAAACCTCAAAGCAATGGTTTCCCACACAGGGAAGTATATATCGATCTTCCTATTTCGACGAGCTGAGTCGATCTAGCTATGTATGTCCGTCAGTCCGTCTGTCCATGTTAATTTGTAATTACTCTACATGTCGCAATTATTGCCCAATCCTCACGAAATTTTGCATGGAGGTGGGGTTGTAGTCAAAATAGAAGCCTATTGGAGACGATCACATAATATTTAGGGGTTGAAATGGACCAAAAACTTTCCTAATTTTGCAGTTGCTCTACAATTCGCAATTATAGACCAATCGACACGAAAGTTAGCATAAGCTAGAGCATAGGGCTGGGCAGAAGCCTTCCAATTTTGATGGTAATCGGGTGATATTTAGTTTAGTGGATATTTAGATAGAAATAGACCATAACATTTGTGTTAAATAAAAGTCAAATTTTCCATTAAACCGCGAATATTTTTAATCCCGACCAAATCACAAATAGACGAACAAATCAATTCTGACCGATAGTAATTATATCGGATATATATAGTGAAATAAATACAATGTGAATATACAACTGAAAGGGATGTTAGCTAGAATGCTTATATCTTAAGGATGGCTGGACAGATTTTGACAAATCTTGTCAATTCAGGATGCCCTCGTGGCATAAAAGGATAAAATGTAAAAAAATTGCATAAATAGATGTCAATAACGATGTTAATATAGATTTTGCAGTATTTTGTGATATTTATTTATTTTCTTCATATTTTTAATCGCATGCGATTTTTTCAATTTGACTTATAATATTAAAGTGTACATTTTGTGATATTTTTTCACCTTACAACACAAGTTGGGGTTATTATTTTCAGATTGCAATTATCGTCCGATCCTCACTAAAATTTTCATAAGGGTATGGGTTAGGCATAGAAAGGCTAGGCCTATTTTTTAAATATGTCCGCAACTAAAAATATTCCTGATTCTGCAGTCGTTATAAAGGTCATGAATGGACCACCACTTTTGTGTGAAAAAATACCAACATTTCCATTCTACCGAAACGCTGAAAATAACTTCTGGCTTTTTATGCAGATTTCGTTGCCGAATATAACCAAATATCGTAGACAAGCAAATCATATAGATGAGTCTAAATTTGACGATACAGATGGACCTCTTGCATGTGGGGGGTTCAGATGAACAAAAAACAGACAAATTTTCCTAATCACACAATTGAAACTAATCGACACGGAATTTTGCATGAGAAGAGAGTTTAGGACAGGGAAGAAGTCTAGCATTTTGGATGATCATTGGACCATATTTAGCGGTAAAATGTAATTTTTGGGCGAATGTCTCTGGTCAAAAAGCGAAGGGTAATATCTGAGCAGTGCTCTATGACATAATTTCAAAAACGATATCTTCCAATATGGATTTGAACATAAAGGGGCTTCCAACATATTGTAGTGTTGTAGGGTATCACATGGTCGGCCCCGCACGACTATAGCCTTTGCTTACTTGTTTTTTTTTTTTATCAAAATAAGCTAAATTAAATTGCTTTGTAAAGGGTTATTATTTACTGATTGCAATTATAGTCCGATCCTCACGAAAAATTTCATAAAGGTAGGGTTGGGCTTAGAAATGCTAGGCCTATTTTTTTGAAGATGTCCGCGACTAAAAATATTCCTGATTTTGCAGCCGTTATAAAGGTCACAAATTTGAGTTTAGGAGAGCGAGTAGAATGGACCGCCACTTTTGTGTGAAAAATACCAACATTTCCATTCTACCGAAATGCTGAAAATAACTTCTGGCTTTTTTATGTTGATTTCGTTGACGAATATAGCCAAATATCTTAGACAAGTAAATTGTATAGATGAGTAAATTTGGAGATACAGATGGGCCTCTTGCATTTGGAGATCGCAAACTATTTAGGGGTTTGTTGTATATGTTAACTCGATATTGACATCACTTTTATTTTATCTGCCTATTTTCACTAACATTCTTAATTTCGTATTCTTTAGTTCTTAGTTCATAGTTAACTCTTTTAACTTGTACATCACAATATTTTTTTTAATGAAATAAACTGAATTAAATTAAGACTCCAGACTTTGCGTAGTCAATATTGGTTTCAGAAGTGGACAGGCATGATGAACCAGGAGCAGTTGAATGCAGGCTGTTCAAACATCGCGGCCGCAGTCTGTGATGTCAGAAGACATAAATACAACAAGACCGCAACGGTTTGCAATAAGCGAATACAAAAGCACACATGGCTCAACGGTTAAACTATTTTGACAGATTCGATAGGGCGTTGAAATTGAGCAAGATTGCTCAAGAGTATTATCATAATTATGCGCGCGTACATATGGGTATTGAGCTAAATACGGCTCTCAAAATTCTAACTAGTCATGAGAAGCCAGAAGAAATAAAATATGAATAAATCAAAACAACATTGATAAATCATTTTGACGGAAGGAGTAATATTTATGTGGAAAGTTTCAGATTTCGACAGATACGCTAAGATGTAGAAGAATCGTTGGCAAATTTTTCACAGCGCTTGAAGCAAGTGACTATGGGGCATTCCTGGATAGGAAGCTGATTGAGCAGATGATATTTGGAGTGGAATCCCGCAATATTTGTGACGAGATTATTGCTAGGCAAACAAAAAGTTTTGCGGAGGCACATGATTGTGCCACGGCAATGGTGTGAAGCAGAAGTCGAATAAAACTACAGAGGTGAGATGTTATGGTTGCGGTGGTCGATTCGTACGGAAAGATTGTAAATTCAAGAACGCGAAGTGTTTTTCTTGCGGCAAGGTAGGCCACATAAATAAAGTCTGCAAGTCAAATACAAAGCAGATAGAGGAGTCGTTGTTGTCAGATGAAGGTGAGGAGGCACATACGTCTCAGATTGCAACAGTCAGAACAAAAGGACCATTCGATCAGAAAATGGTCACAATGAAGATAAATGGCCAGAAAGTTGATATGGAACTGGATACGGGTGCTCCTTGGAGTATTATTCAGTGAAGTAGCGGGTAAGTTTAAAGTTCCTCCTATTAAAGTGAAATTAAAGCTACGCCAAAATTTGCAAGACCCCGAGAAATCTCATTCGCATTACGGGGTGCGTATTCCAAGGAAATAGACGCTAAGATTGCGGCTGGATTTTACGAAAGAGTAGAGTATTCAGAATGGGCATATACTACACATGTACTGACGAAAAAGTATGGAGGTATACGTGTTCCGGGTAACTACCAACCAACCGTAAATCCGCAAATTGTAATAGACGAACACCCAATTCCGAAAGCGGAGGATATTTTCAACAGGATGAAGGGCTCAAAGGTGTTTGCCCATTTGGATATTACTGACGTATTCACACTTCGTCCTTGACGAGGAATTTGCCCTTGTCCTGACGCTGAATACTTCACACATGGACTAGAACGTCTAACTCGAGTAGTTCATGCAGCCGCCGACATTCCGGCCATTTGGCAAAGAACGATGGAAATGGCTATACATGGCATTCCTAATATTCTTAATTTTTTCAACGATATTCTGGTGCTTGCAACAGACGTTGATGATCTGTTGAAAGTTCTTGAGACTGCATTATGCAAGTTAAAGGAATTTGGATTTAAGTTAAACAAAAAGAAGTGCGTATTTGTGACATCATCGATTGAATTTCTAGGTCACAAAATCGACGCCAAAGGAATTCATAAATCCAACAGACACATTAAAGCGATTATGCATGTGACAAAACCACGAACGTTGGAGGATTTACAATTATTTTTGGGAATGGCGTCGTATTATTCGAATTTCATACCAAACCTGTCTACAATTGAGAGGCCACTTCGGGCCGTTTTGAAAAAAGGAACTTTCTATTGGAATAAAAATACAGATGCGGCATACTCTAAAATTAAACAACTGTTGATATCTCCACAAGTGCTGATCCCGTACGATCCAGCATTGCCTATTCTACTTGCAACGAACGCCAGTAAAACGGGACTGGGACTGGGAGCTGTTCTGTCGCATCGTCTTTCTAATGGACAGGAACGTCCAATTGTTAATGCGAGCCGCACCATGAACGCGACGGGGCAACGATATTTACAAATGGATAAGAAGGCGCTGGCCATAGTGTGGGCCGTCTAAAAGTTTTTCAAGTACCTGTATGCCCGTCATTGGACTCTGATTACTGACCACAAACCGCTGGTACATATCCTACATCCGAGTAAGACGCTGCCTGTTTTATGCATATCCCGTATGGCAAACTACGACGGCGGTCCACAAAACCTCGAAAGAAAACAGTAATGTCGATTTTTTGTCCCGAGTAAAACCAGCCAACAGAGTGAACAAGCTCAGTTTGGATAAGGCTATATGTAATGACCTTGATGAATTTAATAGTTTCGTGATTCGCAAAATTAGTCAATTGTCGGTAACTGCTGAACGAATTGCGCTGGAAACGAGAAAGGATCCTCATCTTGGTAAGATTACAAAGTTTTTGGAAAGTGGACAGTGTTTGTCAAAAGCTTGTTACAAATCACATGAAATGAACTACAAAGTAGCGTCAGGGTGTTTAATGTTTGAACACCGAATTGTGATCCCTCCTACATGTCGGGGCGATTTAATGAATGATTTGCATGGCGCCCATCCGGGCTATGCCTTTCATCTTAACTATCCCTAGATAATTAAGATGAAAGATTAGCAGAGCCCGGTCCTTTGTTTACTGGCCGGGCATTGACAAAGACATTGA